TCTCTTATCATGTGGGGGAGGCCCACAAGATAGGATTTTGTTTGGATGTCTGTTTCCAGTCCTGAAAGCCAGAGAGCCCTTGCTCTTCACCGCTGGATCACGTGAGGTGAATGAAGGATGCTCAGGACTGATAGCAGCACGAAATGAACGTGCTAGAGAGGTTGTGAGGGACTGCGCCAGTGGCATGAAAGGAAACCCATGTGGTCCCCAGGTGCTCCTCCACGCACAAGTCGGCCAGAGTGATCTTCCTGCCACCCCCTGCATCAGGTTGCTCTCCAGCAAAGTTTGTACATGGTTCCTTTCCACTGACCTTATTAGGAGCCAGGCAGTGTGAAATCTGGAAGGGGCCAGTTGTGCCATGTACTAACCATTGGCATTTGGCCATTTTGTCTCTCTTAACCTCAGGCTCTCCATTTTTAACTCAGATATAACAATATGGGTCCTGTGTGTCTCACAGGGTTGCAGTGAGTAGAAGAGGAAGGTGTGTTGGCACTCAGGGACCTGCAAATCCCATTGAAATGTGAGATCCCTTAACTCTTCAGGATTCCCAAGCCTTGTGCCCTCACCTCCCTATTCACGGATACTTGGTTACTTCCCACTTGTCCCCTGCCAGCCTTCCGGATCCAGTCAGGCCCATTTCCCCAGGTCTCAGGCCACTGATCCTATGCAGCTCCTTCCAGCCCCATCCTAGAAAACCCGTCCCTCCCCCATGCCTTTGATACCCCCTTCTTTGTTTCCGGAGTCTGTAGGACACCACTGCTCGATTAACAGTATGTGGTCCTGTATTGCTTACGTGTCTCCCAACTAGCCTGTGAGCTTCCCGAGTCCAGGGCAAGGCCGGGGCGTCCTATTCACGGTCGCATCTCCCGCCCCCAACCCCTACGATGGAGCCTAGCACAAGTAAACAGAGCAGAGATTCCGCAATGCTTTTTAAAGGTTGTTTGATTAGAAGGTTCAAAGCCCTGGGCCGGCCCAAGTCGGGCCAGTTTCTCCAGGGAGGTTGCAGGAGGGCGCCAGACCGTGTGGAGAGCGCGGATAATGAGGGACACTGCAGTACCGATCCAGCGGGCCGGGGAAGGGTGTCACTTCGCTAAGACAGTCCTGGAGTGGAGCTCGTCAGCCCGGAGGCTCGGCTCCCCCGCGCCGCCCCTTATCCCCCCCA